GGCGCCGGGTTAAATTTAAACACACTGATGATGAGACAAACCTAGTCTCGAAACGTTTGTAAAATTATTATTTAATAAATTTGCAAAAAGGGTGTGTTGTTCATATTCTAAATTAATATATATATATACATATATATCTTACATATATATATATATATATACAATCATATATAAATATATTCACTTTCGTGAACAACATTACCTTCCATTAACATATCCTTTTCAAACTCGATTCACCACTTTCACGAACATTTTTATTTGTATCACCCATAATTACAATTTATGTGATTTACAAGTACGTTGTAAAATTAATAAAACAATAGTATTTTTGCACTAATCAATAAAATTAATAATTTTTTATTGATAAGTTATTGAGGTCTCGAGGCTTCGAGTCGGAGCGCACCTGACGACTGATAAAATGTATATGTTTGGCAAAAACACAAATGATTTTGATATCGTGTTATCAAATAAATGATGAATAGATAAAAATGAGACAATTTATTGAAAAACAATCACAGATAGCAAATTTATAAACGTTAGTTTCGATTACACCTTACCGATTAAAATAAACCTTCTTTCTGAGAGTTGACAAAGCTGAAGGAATTGGACAGTCGGATCCAACTTCTTCTGCAACTGTTGCCATTATTGAAAGCAAATCATATTTGTGACTATTTGCATCTAAAATGTCACAAAGATATTGTATGTAGAAGAAGCTTTTTTCGACCCTTGGCAACTCCTCATCTGCACAGAAAGTTAAAATCATGTTTTATTTCCTGTGCAGAAAGTTATAAAAATGTGTTCACCAGATCAAAAGTTTTCAGCAAACTAAAACTTTCGGAATCCATTGTAGAAAAACATCACATCTACTTTTTTTAAAAAATTTCGACTTTTAGTAACCATTTTTATAACTATTTCAAATATACTCAAAATTTTATATTATCTAGAGTGAATAAATTCAAAACTTAAAAAAAGTAACAAATTTTAAAAGCAATTTTTTATGATAATGAAAAACTAACCCAAATATCTTATGGTTGCATCATAAAAACTATTATGTCCTATTAGGAAATCAGCATATATTGGAATCTTATAATCAATCATTTTTGATGAATCACTTGATATTCCCATGTTTCCTATAAGGACCAACTTTAGGCGCTTGAATAAAAAACAATTTTGGTTTTCCAGCCAAACTTGGACATTTATCACCAGTAAATTGCGCCCAAATTGATTTCACACTATAAACATCTTTCTGTGCTTTTAAAAGCATATCTACAAGATAATAAATTATTAATATACCGAAAGAGAAGCTTGTTTTCTCCAGAAAATCCGACTTTTAATATTTTCTCTGTAACATTTGAGACCAAAATTGTGAAAAGAATATGTTTATATGAGCAAGAACTTGAGGTTGGGGAAAAATCATAAACCGAATTTAAAAATTATAATGGATTATGTAGAAAATGTTTTTAAGCTTCAGAATATGAATCAACAAGTTTTATATTTAAAAATAAGTTATAGGATAATTCACTAATTAGCTAAAATATGATTGCTTACACAGAATGCAAATATTTCTACTTACACCCTGCTGCAGGAGCTAATAAAAAGATCACCAGGCAATTATCTTCAGAATATCGACTAGTTGTACTAAAATATAATAAGTTATTATTAAATAAATTAACAAAAAATATATTGTAATAATCCACAATTCTTCAACTTTTTCCCGGATATCCCACAATGTTAAATCATTATAAACTCTAACATCAAATCCTAGTTTTTCCCCAAAAGTATTTTTAATAGCTTCCACATCGTTTCTGAATGTTCCATTCCAAAATTTCATGACACTGAATGAAGAACATTGAACACAATCACTTCCTTGATTTTTTGTGACTCATATATAACAAGTATCATTTGAAAATAATGTTGATAGTGCATTTGGACTAGAAAAATAGTTTACATTTTTTTATTGAAAAATGTTAATCAATTAACGTTTTGTCGTATTGCAATTCAAACAACATTACCTTTCATCAACATGGTTTCTTGATTCACTACTTTCACTAACATTTTTATTTTTATCAGCCATAATTTTTCAATATTTTTGTATTCTGTAAGTTTTTGTATTGTTATAATTTACCAGTTATTATGTGGTAATATTAGTATCCAACATAATTTTTGCACCAATCGATAAAACTTACAAGTTTTTACTGATAAGTTATTGACGTTTTCAACTGGCTTCGGATTGAAGTACAACTGACGACTGATAAAATGTATAAGTTTTGCAAATACAAAAATGATTTTGATATCCTTACTATCAGATAAATGATAAATTAATATAAATATGACAATTTAAAAGCTAAACTAGTGGGGTGCATGGCATCTTGCCTTAAGGCAAATTGCTGATACTTCCCGTACTAGAACAAAATGTTCGAGAATATTAGATATTTTCAAATAGATTATTATAAATACTGTAACATTGTCTAATATTTATAGGAATTATATAAACAAAATCGCAAAGTTGAAATTATTTGTTTGAAGTATATTAGAACTTTAGTCAGAATTAAAATTAAAATCTGATTTATTTTCAATATACAAAAAAAAAAAAAATTGAAAAAAATTTTAAAAAAATGTTGAAAACAAAAAAAAATTTTTCAAAAACAATTATTTTTTGGAACAAGCAGAAAGTTCTTTGAATCATTCAAATCGGACGCTTAGTTCTCTCAAAAACTGCCGTTTTTAACTTCCCGAAGGAGAAGTTTGTTTTCATAAAAAAATCCGAATCGCTAATTTTATGTTTTCTCGACATTTCAAGCCATTCTGAATCGAATGAGACCAAATTTGGAAAAAGTATGTGTGTGTGTATGTGAACAGACTTTGTGTCGTAAAACGACGTTTTCTCTAAAACGGCTGGACCGATTTCAAAAATTTAAAAGCCATTCGATGTATCTCGATGAGGATTATCGTTTCTCAGTTTTGTGCGACGATCGGCCGAATCGTTTTTTTGTTTTTTGAAAAAAAAAAGAAATAAAGGTTTCGTCCACATTTCGGCTCATACTACAGAATCGATTTTGCAAAATCAAAAACTGTTCGAAAGATATTTGTTGGGAATGATACTGATTAGTTTTAGATGAAAAACTACCGAGCCGTTTTCTTGTAATTAACTGTTGAAAAAAAAATTTAAACCGATTTTTATGGAACTTTATTTTGCAATATACATCACGGTCTTATATAACTTACTGAAATATTACGGCCTTACGACATGTAATTGAATTTTGAAAATCCATCAAAGTTTGAGAAAATGAGTAGTTATTTTGACGTTTGTTTAAATTAAAATAGACGCTTTACTTGGTATAACGATAGAGTACTTGTACTTAATGAACATACTAAAGCATTAAAGTCCTGTGGAAACTGGTTCAATTATGAAAATTGTTGATTTTTTAAAAAAATTGCTCTTAGAAAATATTCAGTTAACGTGTGTTTTCCTTTCACTAGTTTAATCACTCATAAATTAATTAATGAAAATAAATAAATTAATTATTTTATTTTTTATTGATTAAGTCTATTAGTTACACGTATCGAGAAGTTCATGTATGTTGTCTCAAGGCAAAATATCAATACTATTTAGTTTTAATACTTAAAATACCAATAAACTAGTTACTTTTTTTATTTTTTTATTTTTATTCGAACTCCGAACCTCCGGCCTGTCCAAAAACTGCTAGATTTTCATTCCTTCATAGGTTATAAAGTGCCAGCAGTTACCAAAAGATTCCATCTTATGGATTTAGTGATCATGTCAGCAGGATTACTATCGATCACACTTTAATGATTTAAAATAAAATTTCTTTCTTAGAGTAGTTATGAATGTAGCAGTTTGCATCATATCATGTTCAGTATTATCAGCAGATACTGAACGCATTTCTCCAACTTTATTTACAATTGCTGTCGTCATAGAAAGCAAATCATCTCTGTCACTATTTGTGTCCAAAACGTCACAGAGAGATTGTATGAAGAAGGTGCCCATGGAGCTTCGCCATGAAACGTAATCTACAAAAAAAGTAAATTATCGAAAAGCAAAGTTATTTCAAATGCATTAAATATTTTTGTTATTTTTAAAACTGAAACAAATTACGAAATTCAAATAAGTTTGACAATAAGTAGTAGTACCAGAAGTAAGTTCAAAGATAAAATTTTATGTTATACTTTCGAAAACAACTGAATCCCATGAAAATATCAGAATGCGATGGAATTCTAAAAGAATTAAATTGTGGCAAATCTCTTGATGTCTGGCCCTCTAGTCTCCTTTGGATTTCAACACCTGGGTCACATTTTGCACCTCGGCATGCTTGAATGAAAAACAACTTTGGTTTTCCAGCTAAGGTTGGACATCTATCACCAGCTAATTTCTCATAAATATCGTCCAACGTATAAAATCCTGCTTGGATTTCAATAATCCTTCTGCAAAAAATAAAATAATTAGCATCTATATAATAACTCACCTGACTAAATATCAAAATTATAGTTATGGATTTTGGTATAAGTTGGACAGTCCAACTGATGATATGCAAATATTTCTACTTACTCTCTATTCCATGAGTCAATATAATAATCACTAGACAATTATCGTCGAAAAGTCAGCTTGGGACACTAAAATATTATGAGTGATTGATAAAGGAAATAGCAAATAATATACAATAAATTCATACATCCATGAACAACTTGCAGTATTTGCGACACTGTTAAGTCATCATAAAACTTCACTTTGAATCCTAACTTTATCCCAAAAGTATTTTCAATTCTTTTCACATCTTCATGTGTTCCATCGCGATTTCAAAGTCATCGAATTGAAAATGATTGAATACTATAACTTTTCCTTGATTTTTGTGACCCATATAATAACGATCATTTAAAAATGATGTTAATGCATTCGGTGTATGGTGACTAAAAATAGTTTACATTTCATTTCTTGTGAAACAGGTTAAAATTCAATTTGTACTACCTGACAGCAACAAACTGACTCAGAAGTTCTAAAAAAAATATTGTGAGTTTTATATATAGAATTATTATGTTTAATTAAAGTTTTTAATATAATTTTTTAATTCTTACCTACTATTGTTCGAACTATCGTCAGAGCTTAAACATGGACTGTTACATATGCTCTTGGTAGAGCAAATGGAGCAGCATCACGGGTGTCAAATATTGCTGGTCTTGTAAACAAATTAAATATTGATAATTAAGCAATTCTCTATATTATGTCAATATTATATTTGAAATATTACAGTATAATTAAATTAATCTAAAATAAAATATACATTTAATTAAATATTTTAAATCATATAGTTTGATATCTATAATATAGATATCAAACTATAAAAAAATATAATATATATTATATATTATTTAGGTGCTTGAAAAATTACTACTCACCTTGACTCTGACGTCAAACCATGTTCTTCAACGTACCTTTTCGATTCATCACTTTTACCAAAATAATCATAAAGATTATCCATAATTACTATATTTTTGTATTTAACAAGTAAAAGCTTAGTAAAACAAAAGGTAAGTTATTGACGTCTCCAGTTGATTTCGGATTGAAGTACAACTGAAGAGTGATAAAATATATAAGTTTTGCCAAAAATTGATTTTGGTATCCATATTATCAAATAAATGATAAGCTTAGATGATAAGATAATATATGATAAATAATGATATCATAGAAATGGGATGATTCATTGAAAAAGAATCAATTTAAAATCTAAATATGCAAGTCCTTTATGAATTACTGTCTTGGGTAACCAATACTAATATTAGCATATGGGTTTGTGAAATTTCATAACTTGTATCAAATAAATTACTAACGGAGTACAGAAATCAGTATCAATTCCATAATGGTTTCTCATCTAACTTGATTAAATTAAGATGTTAATTCAGGCGGAATTATTTTAACAAGGCACACATACCGATTCTGATGATCATATCTTGTAATTAGGAATTAATTTCATTCTGAAGATTTGCGTTTGTCTCGTGACCTGGTTTTGACATGTTATTTGCAATCCATATAAAGGAATAAGGACTTCTGTAGGAAAATTGAAATATTAAAAATAATTGTAATAATTCCATACACTGTATGGCACTGTATCACACATATTTGATATAATTAGTCCAGGTCATAGCAAACATCTAAAACTATTACTATCTTACAAGAAAAGGTTTAATTATATTTATAGATCCTTTTTTTCTTCTTTCCAGTTGGTTTCTAGTAACACTACAAAACGAAACTGGAGAGGTATCCTTATAGCAGTGCTGGTCATAGTTTTAGTTTTGGCTCTAATAGTGACCAGTGTGTGCTCCTGACCCCACCAGATGAAGGACCAAGGTCAAAGGACTCCGAATACGAATGCAGGACATTGTGGACGGGGATTATAATCCTTTGAGATTCAATGGAAATGGATATCTGGTAAATATTTAAATAGTACATACAAACATACACACAATTTCGTTTACTTGAAACGTCAAGTAAACTTAAACTCAGCAAATTCAATTTTCTGGCGACAGCCTAAACTTTTCCTTCGGAAAAGCTAATAATTTACACCCAAATATGAGGAAAGTAAAGTCTTGGTCTATGATGGTTTAATTGAGCTTTCCAAAACCTTGATTTATATTACAGCCAATAAAAAAACTTTTAAGATTTCCTTCTTATATTACTTTTTATCGTTCGTCCAACTTTATGTGTACTATCCCTAGACGAACATCTGGGTGGTAATAAAACTGAATTTTTATAGACTTTAATTCATTTTATATTAAGGAAAAACATCTTATAAAATCTTATAATGTCATCAACTCAAATACAGTGTTTTATGTAAAAGTAATTTTAAAGTTTAATAGATTGTAAATATTTTTTGTACGATTATTGAATCAATTCTGGTTAAACTAAAAAAAATCATTGCTTTATCAAAACCAAATCAAAATTATATTTTTATCTTGTTGCAAGTACGTTAAATATCACCAAAATTGTTATTATACTGCTAAAACAAATAATTAACAGAGTGTTATAAAGACCGATTTATTACTTTGTTCATTGTATATAGTAAAACAGTAATAAATATTTTATTATATGATATCAACTTGTATACAACCCAAATTTATGACTTTTTGGCTCGATTAATATATGATTTGTATTCTGTACAAGCTTATTAAATTAATAAATATTGCTAGCAAATTAATATTTACTAATGCAATAGAAATACAGGTATTGTTTTATAAATAATTTATGACATATTGATGATATATTATTTGTACTCAAATTAGTAAAAATGGAATGTAAACAAAATTTATACTTATTGTTAAAATCTCTATAAAATATCTGATAATTTGCTGTGCATATGTCTAATGATCATTTTTGACCGCCAAATGACATTTTTTTTACTTTTTCATTAGATCTCCGAAACCGTACAAGTAAAGGTTTTTTGAATTATTAAAATCGGACGCTCCGTTCTCTTAAAAACTGAGTTACCGTTTTTGGCACTTTTTGCCCCGTATCTTCGGAACGGCTAACCTGCCTTCGCCAAAAACTAATCAGCACGCCCTCTGAATCGCGTGTTCCCGAAATCGTCGACTAAAATTTGTATCCGCACACCACCACACGCACACACACACATACACACACACATACATCAATTTTCTAAGGTATGCCAAAATATTCAGAAACTTTGAAATGTAAAGATATATAAAAATTTTCATTTTAGATTTTTTTGCGATTACTATAACTTGTCCTACGGAAACCTAGTTATAATTTCATGGTTGCCATGTTATTAGCAGTCCAAACAAATAATTTTGATTAATGAATTTATATAATATTTATGTTCTATAATAAATTTAGAAAGCGCAGTATAAAAATAATCCGCAGAAATATATCAAATTTATTTTACCAAAGTTATTTTTTGGCTCGAACGTGCTCTTATATCAGAATAAGGAATCGCTCTCAAGAGTTATGAATAATAAAACAACTACTTGACATTAGTCCGTATATTTCTGTAAAGGTCGTGGCAGCTAAGCAAAATTATAATATTACACAGAAAATCGTATATGTAATGAAATAAGTTTTTCTAAAACTCTCTTTGCAAGTATTAATATATGAATTTACATAAATATTACTTATGTAATTTATAATAAATTCAATATAGTTCATGTAATAGTCCTCATATATTAGGGTAATCCTTATATGAACATTTTCG